CGGGTGTTTGGTGCCTGCTGTGAAAAAAACCCCCCGCCACAGAAGCTGTCCGTACAGAGAGAGGGGGGGCGTGCTGTTTCGCTTCACCTGTGGAGAAGGGAACAAGGGTGTTCATGGGCAAAGATGGCTTCATTAAGCTGAGCTGTAGGCCACCCATGTGTTTATACACAATTCCCAAGTCAGTTACTGACAATTGCCATAAAGGAGCTCAGTTCCAGATCATCCTTTACCAGAAACCCGGGCGGTAAAGTCAGAGCACCGCTTTTAGCTCACTCAGTACACTGACAAGCGACTTGAATGATGCAAAACCAACAGCAAAAAGCTCCACACGGCTCATGACACAGGTGTCCAGGCTGAAGAACAAGGTACCAGATTTAAGGTCTGCTCAGCTATTTATAGGAGAGTCACTGCTCCTCACACAAGAGTCTCTTTAGTAGTAGCAACAAGCTTAGCCCAACAGTCAAACACAAGGCAGGCAGCAGTAACTTTTGCAGCTGTTCTGGCATACTGTCTGGGAACCAGCATCGCGCTATGCTCAAAACCAGTCTGCTCTCCAGATGAATCTTGTCTTACCTTCTTATACAGCTCCCAGAGACGATAGTAAAACAAGCGGCAGGACAAGCAGCCAAAACGCAGGTAGGGACTGAGTCCTGTAGGGCTGGCCAGCAATGAATTCGCATTCATCCTTGGTCTTTCGTAGTTTGCAACCCATGCCTAGACACATTCAGGAGAAATGAGCAAAAAAACCTCTCAGATTTGTGGGACGCTGCTAAGGGGAGATCTCTGTGCAGGTGGCAAGGCCACTCAGGTCTCTTTCCCAGCGGTGGTTGGAAGTGAATAGAAGATCGAAAGTGAGGAATCCCAACCCCCACACCCCATTCAACAAATGCAAAAGTTTCGCTCCAGGATTTAAACCACTTAGTCATTTTGGCCAAGAAAAGGACTAAATTTGCTTTGCATGCAGGAACTAATAACCTTGCGAGCTCCTAGGGACATATGCTAATGCCATTGTTAATGTTCAGGTACATCTACTGCATTTCACACATTGAACAAGGAAATTTGGTGAAATTCAGACCTTTCTGTGGAGTATTATGTTCCCAGTTTATTTCCCCTTCAGCACAAGAATTTATACTTTGATCTCTACGACTGCCACCAAGCCACCCAGCATTAAAATGATACCAACAGCTTAAAATTGAGTCATGCCTCTGCAGCTCGGTCACCTTTCATTACTTTGAAATCCTCTGCCTCATTCAGTATAACGCAGAACACAAGTCCCATGGAAGAAATCCGGGTGTTTCAGCAATCGGCTAAAGGAATGACAGCCAGTGAGACAATGTACTAATGTGCCGAGGTACCAGGGGAAGACATTCTCTTCTGGGCATGTACTCCCACTATTACCTCAGACAAAGACAAAAGGAGATGGTGTGCAGCATGTAGCAGGGACCGAGCAACTTACAGGAGAGTTTCCAAGTCTGCACTCCTCAAAAGAAAATGGAGGGGTAAAAACAAGGAAAAGAATCCTATGTGCTTCGAATGGCAGCATAATTAATATACAGCTCTACTTCTTTGGGTCTGAGGAAGCCCAGGAGCTTCCTGCTCCACAAACAACCCCAGATGACAGGAGTACTCGAACAATACCAAACACTCCTCCCAGAGGTGAATGCTGCAACCACTCCTAGGTGGAGCAGGGAAACAGAGCAATGGCCAGTGCTCAACATTCTTCATTTTGAGCCACAGCCTGCAGGAATCGCCACTTAAATAGCAGAGGTTACCTTTCGTTCCAGGTGTTTATCCAGCCGTGCCAAGGCTTCTGTCTCCCCTCCTTGCCAAACTGCAGGGGCAAGACCATCCGTAGGAAAGCCTGAAGGAAAGAACTCTGTAAGATTCAAAGCCATACCTAGAGAAAAGATGGGATTAAGCACTAATAACAGCAAGATGCTACATACTGCAGTTGCCTAATATGGCTTACTTGCTGCCCTCGTCCTTCTACAGCAGGCATGAGGAACACGGGAGAGCCTGTTCGTGACACTGCACTGGAAGGGCCTCTCCCTGCAATACTTCCAGCAGCCTTCTGGGGACTTTCCCCATTGCTGATATAACAGCACTCTCTCTTGCGTGTCAGCACTACCCACAGGGCTCTGCTCCAAAGGCCAGAGCAGCTGGAAAAGCAGTATCTGCTCCACAGCTTTGCCTTACAAAATACCTTGCCAGAACACCAGCAGCTCACTAGAAAGCCTGACTGCTCCTGGTGAGGCTCCTATTCTGCTGAAAGCTGGCGCTAGGGAAGGTACTGGATCAGTGCTGAAGAGCCAATGCAAAAGGGGAAGCAATAATGCAGTTTCCCTGCACTGCTCTGGGGTGACAGTGGAGTCTCCCCCAGCAGCAAGTAGAGCAGTGTAAGGTTGCAGGCAGTCTCACATTAGGCCAGACAACAAAGGAAGCAGATCTACCCAGGGCTGCAGCCCCTTGGGATACTCCCTTTGTGAAGCCCCCTGATTTTACACAGCTGCTGAAACTGTGCTTTAAGGTACGAGGTGCTATTCCTATAAAGCTGGTATGGAGCCTCCAGTTGCACACATACAGACAGTATTCTGTATTAGTCCTTTCTTCCCTTCCATTTAGATTCACTTCCCTGATGTAGGCCAAGCATTCCTCATGCTACAGCTCTCTATTCATCCTTGTTCTCCAAGAAAAATACAGGACCATAAGGCATAGCAGGATGAGTGAAAGAAGTTTCTGTAGTATCTTTTGTCTTGCTAAGCTCCCAAATCGGTGCCGCTTCACAATAACTGAATGAGATGACCTGACCTGGTACAGTTTACCTCTTCAGGTCTGTTACACAACGTGTCTGAGATGGCAGTAGGAAGAAAGCAGCTGGCGAGGGCATGAGACACTGATACAGCGGTTACACGCTCGGTGTTGTGGAGAACATGAGGACAGATGCAGAGCATTTCAGAGCAATGCTTGAGGGGATGCTGTGCATCGACAGTAGTGCAAGGGACAGCAGTCTGTTTTCCTGAGGTCCAGCACTTCCTGAAAACATTAGGCTGCTTCTGTGCTCTATGTTGAGAACAGCGGAGCTGTCCTGGGCACATGCCAGCCATTAGAAACAGTTTAATTAGATCCTGTTTCAGCCAGCAGTTAACCTTTCCTTCACTCTCAACACATACCCAGCTCTTCCAGGGATGGCACCCCATACACATCGTCATGGTTCTCCTGGATGTCCACTTTACACTTCTCCATCTGTTGGCTTGTTACGGTGCTCACCGGCTTCTTTGGGAGCTCCATGCGGCTAATGATGGCCTGGAAGCGTTTGTAGGTGAGGGGTGGCTTGTGACCATTCAGCTCAATTATTCTGGAGACAAAACAAGCAAGGTGAAGCAATGCAGCCTCGCTGCCACATAAGACACAAGGAAACAGCAGCCGAACTGCATCCTGCTATCTCTGCTACGGACAGCCTTATACTTTGGATACAGAAACCCTTACAGACCTCCCTTTCACTTGACACATCCCTTGAAGGGATATTCAAAACAAACCAACCAACAAACCCCCAAAACACACCAGAAAACAACCCCCCACATACTAATTCATCTCCATGGGAAAAAAGAAACCACCAGCTGCAGCTGAATCAGGCTTAGCATCACATCTCTCTCCCAGAGCTCCTCATTAGACCCCCGTATGAACCCTCAATCTGATTACTGCCTTTCTGTCTCCCCGAGACGGCAAATCCCGGCCCCGCATCTGCTCCCCCAACACCCTGCGCTATCCTGCCCTGATGCTGACCTTCATCCTCC